AGAAACAAAGGTGTTGATGGCAGCAGCACAGCTGATATTTCTCTCCAGGATGGAGTCACAGCCAGACAGGAACAGACGATGCTGTTGAGCTATCCTAGGGGGTCAAAGGTTGTAAGGCAGAGTTCAGGATGGAGAGTTTGCAGAGACAATATGAAGAAAAAACAAAATAATGTTTAAAGGTTTGGCAATGACGCAGAGCAAACTGACTCTTTGTTATTATCATTTTGTATACAAAACTAAATCTCGTTTTGTACAGCTTTGATGACATTTCCATTTCTTAGAGTAGCAGTGAACATGTGTAATCAGTGTGGGAGAATAAACATGGTGCAAAAAACGCATTGATATGGAAGTTCAGAGCATTAAACATATGGTGCAAATATGCAGTATTTTTGGTTTGGTTTTATCAGTTTGATGCAGAGTCTTTGACATGATTTAAAGTTTTTTCAACAGGTCAGAAGTCTGATGGCGGGGGGGAAGAATCAGAAATACTTTAATAATCCCAGAGGAAATTACTTTTGTTACACGCTCCAGTTACAGTTTTATATATATATATATATATATATATATATATATATACACATCCAACAACACAAGATAATAAAGATAAAGATAAAAATAGAAATAAAAAAGAGATAAAATATAAACACATATAGCTCTTCTGTATACAGTATGTATCTATGTATGTATATATCTTTGCATATGTAAAAACTAAATCCAAGTAAAGTGAAAATCCAAGTAAAGTGATAAATCCAAGTAAAGTGAAAATCCAAGTAAAGTGATAAATCCAAGTAAAGTGAAAATCCAAGTAAAGTGATAAATCCAAGTAAAGTGAGGAGTCTTTTTCTCCTGAAGGAATGTTCTGGAATCTGGAATGAAGCTGTTCTGGAATCTGCTGGACCTGCATTGGATTCTTCCAAGTCTCTTCCCAGAGGGCAGCAGGGAGAACAGTCCATGGTGGGGCGCAGCGCTGGGATGAGCTACTCTATTCTACTCTATTCTACTCAAACAGCACATGGTGGTGCACCACAGGGCTCTGAATAGGTACCTCTTGTTTTTCCTTCACATATTAATCCTTTTTATTTCTTTCGAGGCCATATTGACCTTTTTTTTTTTATATCTGTACTCTTCTTCTCGTAGTTTAATTTCCTCCAGCCACAAACTTATTCCAGGAACAGAGGGGATTGGTTCTGAAAAGCTGTGGCCCCCAGGGCTCTGTATTGGGACCTTGTCTTTTTATATATGTATTTATTTTTTTGCCCATGGCCGAGCAGTTCCCTGATGTCTTTGCTTTATATTGTTATTAAGCTCTATTTTTATTCTAAACCAACTGGATATTTTAAATTGTGTTCCTTTATAAACTATGTTAATGGTATTAAACACTGACTGTGAAAAATTCTGGCACGTAAATTTTTATAAGACATTCAGTCTACAGCAAATATTTCAGCGTCATATTCTAATGATTGTTGCAAAACCGAAACTGAAATCCAGAAATAGATGTATTTTCTTGTCTTTTGAAGAGGAAATAAAGTTGGCCAAGATCTTTTTGGTTTAATATAAAAAAATAACCAATCTAGTTTCTTTTCAGGTGGATAATATCTTATTCTAAGTGCAAAAATCCTCATTTCTTTCACAGACAATCTTACTGACCTGCTGAAATTAGGGGCAAACACACTTAGATTAAAACAGTTTTGCTTATTTTAGTTCAGTTCTTCAGTGTGAGATGAATCCCATCCATCTGACAGCTTAGATAGATAGATAGATAGATAGATAGATAGATAGATAGATAGATAGATAGATAGATAGATAGATAGATAGATAGATAGAT